CGTGTTGAACGCGTAATATTTTATGCCACATGGCAAAAGTAAAACAAACTTCTAAATAACCAGATATAATAATACAGGTAGTCCTTCTTTCAGAGCATGCCGACTCCAGTTTCCAGAAAAAATATGTGCAGCAAATACGCGAGTGCAAAGAGTGGATGGCGTTACGCATTACGTAATACATGTTGGATAACCTCTGTCTCGTTAGCGACCATCTCCAGTAAGCGACCACCTTTTGAATTTCCCGTTTTGTTTCACATGTAAACTCTGTAATAAAACTCTCTAGTAAGCGACCACTATCGTGGGCGACCGCGTCCACCTTTGGGGTTAAAATTTGTGAATTTTTCATTGTTTTTCCTCTCCCGTAATCGAGCATCCTTAGCAATACAGAAGCTTTGAGTCATGCTGAAAATTAAGATACCAATTTGCGATAATGTTTATACAGTGCTGTAAGACATTTTATCATTTGAAACGTTCAAATTTTTATTAAAACAGTCGAACCTTTGATAGCTGTTACACAAGATCAAATTGTGGATGGTTTGGACTTCCTTTGTTGGGATTCTCATTGTTTGGGCTTCCTGTCTAAGTAAGCGACTTCCTGTCTTAGTAAGCGACTTCCTGTCTTAGTAAGCGACTTCCTGTCTTAGTAAGCGACTTCCTGTCTTAGTAAGCGACTATCTCCCATAAGCGACCACTTTCTCCTGACCCCAAGGTGGTCGCTTACGAGAGAGTTAACTGTATTTATAAATTTGAACTATGTCCGTTTTAGTTTGTTAAGTTTGATGACGTTTTAGGTTATTTCGAATTGTTTTGTCGATTTCAGATGGGTTCACGTGGGTTTAGATGGTTTCTTAGGTGGTTTCAGGTGGTTTCCTTTGTGGTTTTAGATGGTTTCAGGTGGTTTCAGATGGTTTCAGGAGGTTTCAGGTGGTTTCAGGTGATTCCAACTTTTAGTACCTACGGTTGGATGGCAGGAACAACGAAAATATTTTGCATAAGAAAGAATTTTTTTCTCATGGGTAAAATAATCTATTGTTCCTGCCATCCAACATGGCTGCTGTGCAAAACCTCTCTTGAACCAGGTTGGCAATAAGTCGGACAAGTTGATCCATTACTGTCATCATGTGCAGCTGAACCTGACAAAAACCGCTGAATTTCCGAACAATTATAGAATGAGAGAGAGGGGAGTGATCCATCGAACAAAGAAATAACTGAGCTGATGAGAAAATAAAAGTATTTTCATGTCGATTTCATCGCGCTTGTCTTGAAATTTGTCTTTGCCTATCTCATATACATCTGTTCTTCCAAATTTTGTCGACTGACTCGCTCAATGCATAAATGACAAATGATCGGTGTGAAGATAGTTTCGTTGAAATCAGCCAAGTTTAACATGCTGCAAATGACTTATAGAAGTATACCAGTGTAACTTCAGAGGATTTAGTTTTGCTCTTACTCCCATGAAAGAAGGTAAAGCACTCGGAATCTGGAAGATATGCACACGATATGAGGTATATGTTTGATTAATTTTGTGGCAGAAGCGATGATTTTCTTCGTGATATGGCTCATAAGATAACATTCTTTGAAAGCCATGTACAATCTATTCATTTAATTTAATTTAGTACATTTACACTGCATTAAGTTTTGCAGTGGGGAAGGACTAGAATGGAACATAGGCACCATTCGTGCTAGTCCACCCTCCCA